CCTGCAAAACAATTATTCACCAAAATAACACTCGAATACGCAAGTTACAACTCTAGAAGTGCGATTTGACGGTCACGCTTTTGCTTCACTACGAAGTCAGCAACATACTGACCAGGTTCATGCACATTCTTCAGTTCTTCCACTAGTTCTAGGTTTCCAACAGTCAAGCAAGCTTCGCCGGAAGCATTATAAGGCTCAGCTGTAGGAGGCGTTCGAAACACTGGAGTCACTTGGCCCTCAACATGTGCCTTACCTGCCTGCCAAATGGATTTGTACACAAAGAACGCGGCACCCCAGAGCAAATTTTAAATTGAAGCAATTGTGACTTTCGATCTGGAAAAGGGCAGCTCGTATGCGAGGATTCGCTAAATTTCCGTATTTAATTATGCGAGAACTCTGAGAGTCAACTCAACTTTTCATGAAGGACAAACAACTGTAGAACTGCAGAGCAATACAGATCTGACTAAAGCGATGGATAGTTGTGATGTGGCAAAATTAGACCTTCTCTGCGGCCAGTCGTTCGGTGTATGTTTCTAATATTGTCAGTTTGTACTCCTTTGTATATTGATGTGATTTGTCAGGAATGGTTCCTTAGTCATTTTCCGGCTAATGATCATCGAACAGTGTACACGTTCAATTAACGATTACATGATTCATTATCAACTTTTTTTTCGATTATGGAAAAACTCATGATGGCTTCCTCTAGTTTTTTCGCCATAAAATTCTACCCTGCGATTTTTACCTACCCTGATCGAAAGAACTTCATCAGCTCGAACTGTTAATAATTTCGAACTCTTCCAACGAGCCGTTTACTCTTTCCTGGAAACCACTCGAAGATTTAGCTGGCCCAGCGATGATCGATTCATATTGCAGCGTGTCATATCCATTTTCAGTTCAACTTCTTTAGTGTGCTATCACAATGCTGACCCCAACATGTGCTTTCAACAATTCTTTTCTATTCCTGTTTTTCTTACTGTTTCAAACATACACATTCCATGCTGCGTTGCATGGTCTATAAGTGAATAATGTTAAGGAATTAGGTGAATGTTTCGCATCCATGGCATTGCACTGGGAGCACACGCTAATCGAAAACTTTCCGTTTGAAGCACAGGACAATTCTCATTTGCACAAAGAGCTCCACGAAAAATTTACTCTTTCCCATTTAGTAGACAAACTGTTCCAAATAAACACTACACGATTACCCAATTTATATTTCAAGTTTACCTTTGTTGCAGAAACGGCGATATTCAGCGATGGAAAAACCGTTCCGCCGCCAGCAAGAGGGGTCGACAGCTACAACAAGTGATTAGTACAGTAAAACAATCGAATGACGAGGTATTTCCTGGGTGTAATAAGAAAGCATGTCTCGTAATACTTATAAAAGACTTAAAATTGATGTAGAAAAAGCCCAGATCATACCCGACTGCCTCAGAGTAATCGAATTCACTTGGTTTCATGCTTTTAGTTTAAGCCGTCAAAATAAACTATATATTGACACGGGAAAAAGAAAGACCTCCAAAGCGTTAATGGAAAAGCGGGAATATCCATTCATACCTCAGTGGTGTTCTATGAGGAGACTGTTTCACTGAAGAGCTCCGGTCGCTGTTCATCATTGTTCGAGCTCAGATCGAAAGGAAGTTCACTATGAACAAACGCCATAAATAATTAAAAGGTGGTTAAGTAATGGATCTAAACGCTGCTGATGAGAGTATGAATTGATAACCGATTTTTAAATTCCTCATCCTCCGCATAACTCCTTCATGACCAGATTTCAAAGTATATTGCACCATTCGTTGTTCTTACTTTCTGATGGGGAGGGATAATTTAAGAATTCACGGCTCCATGGTATTTGAGCTCCTGCAGTGCTAAACGAATCTCGCATCATTTTGTAGACTAGAGTCACGTCATGCTCTTCATGAACGATACTTCAGGATTCGTTACTCAATAAATGTTACCTCATAAATATCATAATATATTCGTAGCCAGAGCATGCCATAATTCTTCCAAGATGAGGTCTCATCAATAAAACTAATTAACTAAACAATATTACAACAAATCTAAGAGAATTGTTTTGTTGCTTATGGGATGCATTGACAGATTTTATTTATATATGAACACAAACATCCTATCAACTGTACATCTTCTGACGAGTATTAAACGTTACTTATACCCATGCAAACTGCGAAGTTATACATACGTAGTAAAGAAGGGACGCCATTCGATTTCCATTTTCTTCCTCCATGCTGGCCGTAAGGAGGTTCACCTACGACAAATAACTTTACAAATCAGCGTTGACATCGAAACAATTCTTCGCAATAAGATTAATTCGTTTACTTTCAATGTACAGTATTGAACTGTCTTAAAAACTAATTAATCAGTGATTGTGAAAATTTGTCTTAGAGCTTTCCTTAAAAATTAAAGTTCATTTAAATACACGAAAATAAAAATTTATTGCTAAATTCTTGGGAACATACCATTTTTAAAATCAGCTTCTACTTGCAGATTTTTATTCATAATAAAACATACATAGCATATGTGCATTTCGGTCCTCAAAGTCTAACTTTCTGTTCCCCTCGTGAAGAGCACGCAACGTCCTACGCAAGGAAATTCTTGGCAAGGGGAATAAGGTCGAATACGCTCTTACAAGCCGGTATATTGCGCTAATGCCTGTTATGAACTCTGAAACGGACAACTAATGAAACTCACGTAAATTACACTTTAACCAGACGTTTTATCAGATACAGAAAACGTGCAAATCTGATAATTGGATTATGTCATTTGTTATTCCAGATATTATACCTCTTATGAATATGGATTTCGAAAAAATATCTGAGCGGAAAAAATACTTCGCAATGTTAAGTCGTTAAAGAACAAACTCTTCAGATTAGAATACATTTGCGGCGGTATTACAAGAGATGTACCGGCTTGGAACAAACCAGTAACCGCTGTATGTTATGGAAATACAAAAGAAGGCGCTGCTCACAGAGACGGTGCTACATTCACAGTCAGAAGGAAGGCAGAAGCATCTGTCGCATATTCAGGCGTGGTATCGCATAATCTTTAAGAGGAGCTTCAAGTCTATGTGCCAAGGACTTGACGTCATGGAAACTGGTTGTTAACCGTCTGTTAAAGCTGTAGTAGACGCAGTACAGGAAGAATATAACGGCTTGCTCCATCTGTCGGCATAGTAGTGTCGACTCGAAATCACGGTTACACTTAGTGCTGATTATTACACTGTATCATCTGTTATCAGGTGGAGAGAGGCGAACTGTAGCCAAAGGGGGCGCTCACATAAGCGCTGAACGTGGCGACGAAGACCATGAGTTGGTGATGGCTAAAGTTAGAATCAAGCAGCAATCCTCGATGGCCAATCGAAAACTGAGCACAACGTTTGAATATTCAGAAATACCACAAGCACATAAACTAAAAAGTGATTCAACACAACTAAACACTTGTTGGCTATATAAGCTACATATTCATAGAGGGCAGTTAGAGCATCTGCACGATGGCAGTTCTGGCAATAACAAACTAACCATCAAAATCAAAACATCGAAGGAAACCGTGGTCAAGTTTCGAAACAAAACCGCTGCAAGAGAAATGCATTTTTGGTACACTGAGTAACATAAAGAGAGTCAGTAAGAGTATTAAGGAAAGAATATGTACCATTATGGAAGACGGAGGTTAAAATAATGGATAGTGCGGAAGAAACGGTATGAACACCACTTAGTAGGCTAGCCGTAGTGCAAACCTGCCGCCAGGAACACCTCCAGCAACGTGGCAGCTATTGATAAGAACTGACCTTCCGTCAAAAGAGTGTAAGAGCGAACACGCATCAATTCGATCCAGGCAATAAACCTGTACCGTACTCAGAATCGAGTAAAAACTGATACATACGAGGAAGATAAATATGCACACCTAAATACTAATGAGTAATACTTGTTAATGATGCAAAGTTAAAAATAATTTTTAAATACTTTCTGTCTCATCAGCCATTAAGCTACTGAGAATGTTAATAAGTGGCAGCTGAAGTGACGAAAGTCTAAGAAGAAAGGTAAAATTGTTTTCTTCCAACAGCAGCTTTCCGTAATCATGCACTAAAACTTACCTTGTCTTCCCTGGCCATGTCAAAATGAGGTTGGTAGTGACCGCCAATTCCGTAGTTACATAACTGAAATTAAAAGCAATTAACCTATCTGATGAATATGGATGACATGTTAATGATGTCAATACACAAAGTAGCAGGTTGAATGGACACGTCTGTACAAGTTCAATTTGCAAAGTTAAATTCACATTTCTATATTAACAGGTAGATTAACGAAAAAGCTATTAGATGGTAGGTATATATTTTTTCGGTGATCCTTTCGAAACTCACAACACTGTAAATTCACATGTACAACTTATTAATTTGTGCTGAACAAAGAAAACCGCTGGGAGCTGCGGAACCTCCACTTAACAAAATGTATCTCCAAGCACCTAAATGTTTATTGACCTATCCATTAAGAGCTTGTTGATGTCTTTTCAAACTGAATGTTTATATGCCTTCTTAGCAGTCAATACAATAAAAGCAAAAAACTTTCTCTTTCAGAAATAAATAGATTATTCTTCATAATTTTTGGCGCTATTCAGGCATCAAATTTGTCTCGACATGGAGCAGATCAAAGCATTTCTTAAAGTTATTAATTCAACATTCTCTGGACCATTTTCATTTAATCCTCGCGCGGATAAATTTACCTCATCTTCACTTCAGAGGATGGACAACCTGGTCACATCATCGTGTTTCTCCGGAAACAAATGTATCAGCAGAATTATCCTGTTCGTCTGCCATCATTGTCAAAGTCTTCATTCAACAGGCAGATTTGCTTTAAAGACAAACTGAGTGACCTTATCCGTTGATTAATATAACTTGTTTCCCTGAGCGTTTTAGGATTAACAACAAGGAAATGCTTCACGGCGAAGGAAAGTCCATCCCACCTCAGTTTGAACTGTAATTCCGGATTATCCTTTGGTTGTAGACTGAGGCAGAGTTTGAAGCTGCATCTGTCAACAATAATCTTCAGCTTATACAAAAACAGTTTTTTACACTTAACGAAGGGCTGAAATTCGATCCCATTTTTATGATATGCAGTGGAGTGAAATTACTGGCTTCTGACACCAAGCTATATAACGATCTGCTGATTCTACAAAGTTAAGCATAATAAACGACTATGTCTGATAAGCAGAACAATTACCACTGACAAGTCATTGAAAATCTTTTATCGAATCAAATACTCAACAATTCTCACTGTAACACCGAGCTGAAACATGAAAGAAATGTTTTTAATTCATCATTCTGTTCTTCTACCTGTGTAGCTGCGTCACTCTCTATTTATCTTTTTCATGATCAATCTCAATCTCCATATCAGTCAACCAATTACCCAATCTGTCCGTCACTCACTCAATCAATCAATCTAGCTGTCTGTTCATCTGTCTATCTGAGTTAAACCGTTCATTTATTAGAATCGCTGTTCTGTTCGAGAGAAGGGGAAATAATGCAAAAGATTTTATATGCGAAACCTTACCTGTAGAAGTTCAGAAAATTCCATGTCGAGGTCAGTCATATCTTGGGCCCGTTGCACAATATCTTTCACCACCGGAACATCGTCGTCTAACCATGACCTGAAACCAACGAATGCGAAACAAACTCTTTGGATCAATTCTTTCATTTTAAAAAACTTCCACGTTAGAACAGTGACAGAAATAAAAGGAAGTGGCCATTATTTTTCGCTTCTGTATACTGGAGGTATTAATGCTTTCACGTTAGCTAATGCATCCGTACTTATAGCCATATTTCATTCATCTGCTTAAAACACTGCAGATGATTAGAAAAACATCGCATCTTCAAGACATTTGGTGACAACGCAAAAGGTGGCTGGTCAGTGTACAATGTTGGATGGCTCTCTCTGATGGAATTCTGAAACATCATATATTATTGGCAATGGGTGGTTGGGAGTGCGAGCAATAAAGTGACGTCATTTGAGCAAATGCACTTACGCTAATTAATACATTACAATATACTCGTCTCCGATTTGCACAGCGTTAATACCTTAAATCTTTGCTGAGTTGAAACAATCAACATCAGCAGGCAATGTATAATGTAGGGATAATAAAATCTTACGCCTCGTTGGAAAGAACGATAGAAAATGCGGGGTGTACTCGAAGAGTGAACAATGTTCGAAAAGCAGTGTAAAGTGTAAAGTGGAATTCGTCTGGGGGGGGGAATGAAAAAGCAATAAATTTATGACATCCTGATGGCAATGGTAGTGCGATCACCTAGATCAGCATATGTGGCAGGATGCCTTATATTTAATATTACAAGTGCCAACATCATTTTCATTAAACGGACCATGCATTTTCCTGCATGAATGAATCCACGCGTCTCGACATGGTCCGGAATAGTGACATCCGGAAGAGCCTTGGAATACAGCCTTTGCTTCTCCAAA